GAATCAGTCCCCTTTCCCCGATTCTCCCTTGATCTATAACTTGAAAGGGGGAAAAAGTCAGGAAGTTACATTTTTATGCCAAAGTTGGTGCTATGAGTTTTTTGCGTTTTTTGATGTTTGCGACTGAAGTAGTCTACTCTTTCTAGTATGTAGAGAACCTCAGAAAGTTGAATATATTTCTGTACTTTTGATTTTTCGTCAGCCGCAAGGTTCAATTCAGCGGAGAACTAATACCATAACACGCCCCGAGGATGTTGCATTTCTAGAAAGATTTGTTTATAAACCACCCGCAGAAGTGACCAATATATATGGAACAGTTGGTACGATATATTTTTTTTTTATAATATAGTATTTCTCGGTTCATTCAGAGACTGATATGATTAGTGGAAGTGGATTAGTGATAAACGTGTCTTTGCTGAAGCTTGGCGAAACGAGTGAGAAATTTCATTTAAACCCGTGATCTTAAACAGAACTCTTAGGTTAAACAAATACAAATTGCTTTTGCGATATGAAATTCCCAGCTAGCATTCTGTACCATTTTCGATGGCAATCATGGGAATTAATTACAAAAGTAAAGCTTTTTAACAGCTCCCCATGAGCTAGATATTTCATTTTCCTGAAGGGGGCTTTTTCTCAATTTGTATCATTGAGCCATGTTTATAAAACTCCAGTGTTAAAGCTAGGTTTATCACTTCTACAATAAATAAAATTTACTGGACCAAGCAATGCCTTGTTAGTCATCGCGTTTAAAGACATGGATCTCTCTCTTTTTTAAAACACAGAAGATGAAAATCTACAGAAAAACGTTGAACAGGCAGAAACTCAGCTATTTGAGGAACAAGACGAGAATCAAACTGACGGTCAAAATGAGTTGGGAAGTTGTACACCAACGCTACATCAGGTATTTCACTGCTTTGTAATTAGAGAAAATTGCAATTGAGTGTCGAAAATCATTTTGGATTGCTTAAGTTTTGCTTCACTTCTCTCCGAGACTGGTCCAAAAATCTCGCAGCATTCTCTCAACCAATCAGAATTAAAACTGAAACCAGTCATGACGTGGCCACTTCTGTTTTTGCTGCGCATCAGACAATGTAAATGTTTTTTTCTTGAGTTCTCATTGGCTTCGCGTAGTAACTCTGGTTTTTGCTTCATGGCAATCAATCGAAGTGCGTTCTTACGGCAGGGAAGTAAACTTCTCTTTGAAGAGCCGTTTATTATTAAACTCGCTATTGTATGATATTGCCAAAGCTGTAATTTTTCCCCAAAATATCTTGTCGTATGGAAGTTGAATTATGATTGAAAAGTGCGTTATTAAAGATCAGAAATCATCAATCAAAACATAAGTTGTTACAAATTCTTTGAGAACAAACAAACTACTTCTTTTAACCCAGTGATAACTTGTCGGTTCACACTGGCAATCAACTTCGCGAGTTAGTCTTTTTGTCTCTAACTTTAGATCTCATTGATTCAAAGGATGACGCGTTTTCTAGGCCAGTCACGAGAGGAACACGAGTTTTTCGAACTAATAAAGGAGCTTACCATACCAGGAAGCCATGTTTGAAATAAAAACAAAGAGCGACGCCGCTTTTTTGCTTAATTCTTTTCTTTAAGAAACATATTATTT